CTCAGTCACTATGGTTCTCAGTGTTGATACTGTAGTCTTAGCACTACAACCTCTGCACTATTGACATTTCAAGTTAGATATTGTGGTGGAGGCATTTTTAGGATGTGGATCAGCTACCCCTCCCTGCATGGCCCCTTCTTAACAATCTTAGTAGCACCTTACCTTCAGTCACTACCACCCCACCCTACACACACACACACACACACACACACACACACACACACACGCACACACCTAGTTGTAAGAAACAAATATGTGTCTACCTGCATTATGTAAATATCCTCCCAGGAAATTGCCCTCGGTGGACTCACTGAGTTAGCTTTATAGTACTGTAAAATTTCTCAGTGAAGTACCCCAGTACTTCCGCTTGCCTGCTTTATTATGCTGCTCTAAACAACCTTCACAAGCCAGGTCAAGGGGAATTCTCCCCTAAGACAGCCACACTGCTGTGGGAAAGCTTACCCCCCCCCCCGAAGGAACCAGTCTTCTCACTCCTTTGCCAGATTCTTCCTTCCATAGCTCAGTTGCTCTTGTCCCAACTTCCCAGCTAACTTCAATTTTATCTGCTCCTTGATTCTGAGCCATGCAGAGAAATATGCTCCCTACCATGTGTTGCATCCTCAGACCCTCGCCCTTTCCTCTTCGAAATTCCCAGCCCCAGTCTGTGTCTTTCTTTTGCTACCTAAGTATTGCTCTAAGAATCCCTGATCCATCATGATTGCCACTCAATGACTCTTTTGCAAACCACAACACCCAAAAGGAGAGAGAGAACAGAGGGGAATGCCCTGCCACAGAGGCAGGGTAGGAGGGGGGGGGGAGGGATACTGGGATCCATGGTGGTGGGAAATGGGCACTTGTGGAGGGATGGGTATTTGATCATTGTATAGTTGAAACCCAAGCACAAAAGTTTCTAAGTCTACAACTGTACCTCATGGTGTCTCACTAATAAAAATTAAAAAAAAAAGAATCCCTGATCCTTCCAGTAATCTAGTGCTCTTTTCTTACCCCAGCAGTTAATTTATCCTACAATATTCTAATTGCTTATTTACTATAATAAGTAATAATAAAAAAATAATTGTTTATTTCATTCATCAAGGTCTAGAAAACCTTTCAGTGCAGAGACTGTCTCTTCCAACTCCAACCTAAAATTATTGCACCAAGAAGCATTTATTGGGTGTCACTAGGGACCTGTGCTATGCCAGGTCTTCTTTATACAGTTCAGAAGTCTGATAAAGATCAGACATGTTGAATAGGAAGAATAAAATTACAGTGTGTGTATATGTGGGGGGGGACATGCACATGCACACGTGCGTGCATGTAAAGTATTAGAGCTATCTAGTTGTACTGCATTGCATGGTCAATAAAGTTACTGTATTACATTGTCAATAATATTAACCTAGGGGCTGGAGCAGTAGCACAGCGGGTAGGCTGTTTGCCTTGCTCGCAGCTGACCTGGGTTCGATTCCCAGCATCCCATATGGTCCCCTGAGCACTGCCAGGAATAGTTCCTGAGTGCAGAGCCAGGAGTCACACCCTTGAGCATTGCCGGGTGTGACCCAAAAAGCAAAAATCAAATAAATAAATAACCTGGAAAATGGCTATTCTTTTCCAATGTTGACTGCAAGTGAGATCCACACAGAAGTGGATCCTTCAGATTCCTAAAAGAGAGCCCCCTCTTGCACGCCCCTTGTGATGTAAGCTCAAAGAGGGTTTGGGAAGAACTCTCCTGGTGCTGGTCCTTGAGGAGTTGGCTCTGTCCCAGTAGGCTCCTGTAGACCAGGGGACACCTTGGGTAGCTATGGGCACAGTTTGGGAGAAACTGACATACCTCAGAGGATCCTTTAGACTTCCTTCTTGGTCTAGAGAACCCACCTCCAGGGTTCTCTGGTTTGTTCCTGCCTCAGACCCTTCCTACTGCATTATGCTCCTGTCCAAGTAGGACATGTCATGGCTTTCGCTCAGGGCTGCAAGTGAGTTCTATGACCTTTGCAACAGAGATTCTATATTTAGTTTCAATGGCCCCTCAGAATGATTTTGCAACATAAACTGATACAACAGTTAGAAGAGTTAGTTTGGTTTTCATTGTATTGATCATAATCATTATAATCATCATCATTATCCTCTTTTTTTCTTTTTAAATTTTAATTTTTTTTATTTTCAAAGAGTTGTTCACAGTAATTTATTACATTCAATATTTCAGCACCAGTCCCACCATCATTGCACCCTGCTACCAACTTTGTTTTGAATTTTCCTACCACCCCCCAAGCCCAACCCAAAGGCAGATGCTAAATAATTTAGGGTGTTTGCCTTGCACGCAGCCAACATGGCCGACCCGAGTTCGATTCCTCCGCCCCTCTCGGAGAGCCTGGCAAGCTACCGAGAGTATCTCGCCTGCACGGCAGAGCCTGGCAAGCTACCCGCGATGTAATTGATATGCCAAACACAGTAACAATAAGTCTCACGATAGAGACGTTACTGGGCCCGCTCAAGCAAATCGATGAACAACGGGAGAACCATGACCGTGAACATGCTTGTTATGAATAATTGACTAAAAATGGTCAAAAAGGTTTACTTAGAGTGAAAATTGTTTCATCTCATCTTGGAGCCACTAAGACCCTGAATTAGAGATTATTGACATGTTGTTAGAGTTTGAGTCTTCTGTGCTAGTATATATATATATATATATATATATAAGCATATATATATGTTTATATATGTATATATATTTATATTTTATCAAGATTGGTTGTCTTCTGGGGCTGGAGCGATAACACAGCGGGTAGGGCATATGCCTTGCATGTGGCCGACCTGGATTAGATTCCCAGCATCCCATATGGTCCCCCGAGCACCTCCAGGAGTAATTCCTGAGTTCATAGCCAGGAGTAACCCCTGTGCATCGCCAGGTGTGACCCAAAAAGAAAAAAAAAGATTGATTGTCTTCTACCTTACACCCCATCAAATCTGGTGTGCTGCTCTTGGTATATCAGTGGCATAATTATATGAAATGTAACCCTGTGCTCCCGAAATTCTATAATTTTTATAGGGTGTTAGAACAGGAGTTATTTTAATTGGATGGTGATTTGGGGGTCCTGAGGAATCTCTGCAGCATGCTGCTCTCTTCTGAGATTCATTAGTGAGTCTGGATCTGGCTATTATTGTGCTTAATGTGCCCAGAGGCAATTCATGGGCATGACTGTCAGGAAAGCAGAAGCAGGGAGATGGGTTGAGGAGTGCCCGTTTGCAACTCCAGAATCCTGGAGATTTCAGTCACAGGTCCTGCATATCTGGATTTTTCAGCCGATTTTCTCTCATCCATAGGGGGCTCAGGGCGAGTCTGAAAGGTCAGCTCTGAGTGTGGTGATTAGGTTCTGGAGGTTTGCAGCTTCCAGGGTTCTTTTGGGACAAGTGAAGGGACACATCTGCCCTCCTCCAAGGTGCCCAGTGAAATCAGCCTGGTGTGGGAATGGGAGACATCTCTTTAGTGAGCTGCTCTCTTCTGAGATTCATTTGTCTAGCCTCATTATTTATTACTAAATAACCTTTATCACCAATTTTTAAGAATTAACATGAGGATCCTAATTTTCACCTCTAAAATCATTTATATAACATTGAACTCTTTTTTTTTGTCTATTTGTTTTTGTTTGTTTGGGGGGCACACCTAGCAGTGTTCATGGTTTGCTCTTGGCTTTGCACTTGCGGATCACTCCCAACAAGCTTGAGGGGTCATATGAGGTGCTGGGGATCAAACTCAGGGTGGCAGCATGCAGGGTAAAATCCCTACACACTCTACTATCTCTCCACCCCCTTCAATGAATGCCTTCTGACTTCATGAATGAATTGACAGAACACAGTTGGCAGTAACTGAGAGCATCTTTACAGATTTACCCACCTTCTCCTGATCTACAATTTCTATGAAATGCGGACATCTTGTTTTCATGGATGGCCTGCCTTTGGTATATGTGACTTGTGTTCAAGGAGTTTCTGAACTGTCCCTCCAACATTTTCTGACACACTCAGGAGATGCTGGGACTACTTTCAAAGTCTAATAGCAATAAGGCTCAGGTCTTGCTTCCCTGAGGTTCTATGCCTACTAGAAATAAAATGGAGTAGCTGAGAGTGGGTTGGAACAACATCAGTAGGAGAAAATAATAAAGCTACTTGCCCAGGAAAATCAGTGGTACCAAGAAAATGCTCCAGCAGAGTAGTATGAGACAGCCTCACAAATTTCTGCACGATGATCTTCTGGGCCATGACCAACTTGGAATCCTCCTAGATTCCCATTTTAAGCTCTCTTGGTTCCTAGAATATGCATCTCAAGATAAATTTCTCATGGTAGCTTCTCATCACTCACTCTTGACCACATAAAAGCCATTTCCCTGGAATCAAGTGTGTGTAATTAGTCGCCAGTGTGCTCATTAGTCCCCAAGTGTGCTCATTAGTCCCCAAGTGTGCTCATTAGTCCCCAGCAGTATTCTACACATAAATAACTAAATGATTAAATATGCCCCTCCCCCTATTTTAATACGGGATAGTTGCGTCTTCCACATCAAAACGTAAGATATTTGCTGTTCTTTCTCCCTTCTCAGATTCTCATAGATTTCTGAAAATGTATTTTGTTTAATCATGGACTTGTATTTCAGTCTTTTACTACTGCAAAGAGTGTTTTGGTGCAAATTGGACACATATGTACCTCACATTGTGTGTAGAATTATGGTGCGTAGATGTGTGACTCTGAATTGAAGATTCTGAACAATTGTAAATTTGATAGTCATTTAGTCTGCCTGAGACTCTTCTGATTCCAAGTCCCTCTGAAGTGGGTATGAATGCTAATTACCTCTAATGTGAAATGCCAGCCTCTAGAGCATTTCAACAGCTCATACATAACAAACCTGTCCCTGAACAGGTTATCTTTACATCTATGTCCTTGGAGCAAAGACCTGTCAGAGTCTCCCTACTTTCCAGAAAACTAATTTTCTTCTTTCTTGCTCGGTGTTCTGCAGATAAACTGTGTGACATTCCCTCACCCAGACACAATGCCAGAGCAGCAGCTGCTAAAACCCACAGAGTGGAGCTACTGTGACTATTTCTGGGTAAGTCGTACCTCAGTTTCCCCCATACACTGGCTAAGGTCACAAGTAGACATCCAAGATGAATAGGAGGGGCCTTGATTTCAAGTCAGAGGGGCCTCTCCTGTTGAATCCTAAAGAAGTGGCAGTTCAACATCTGAGATAGGAACTGAAGATACTGTTGGAGTCCACATCATTCCATAAACCTCACAACCAACAGGGTTTTAATCACAGAAATATTAAAGACCCAGCTAGGTTGCAGGTAAACTGGAGATCATTTTCTTGCCTGCACAGTGAAGGCAGAAGATGAAAATCAATTTTTTTACTGAAGCTCAACTGCAGGTGTATGCTGTCTTTAATGTTGGGAACCTTGGACAAGGACTCATGTCCTATGAACCCCTCCCCCACAAGAAGTTACCGTCAATGTCACTAACATGTGAGTTGCAATGATTTTCAGAGAGCTCCAGCATTAATAATTCTGTCATTTTAGTACTTTTGTATATTGTTTGATGCTTGTAAAGTTTCGCCCATTAGATGGATGATGGTAGCGGTTATGATTTCACAATAATATGGATGTACTTAATGCTATTAAAGTGTAACTTGAAAATGATTGACTTGGGGATATTTTATTACTTATGGATTTTCATAATTTAATTTTTAACAAATGTGGAGTCTTCTCAAAATTTCTGAAAATAGTCCTGGACGTTTAAAGTCAGCAAATGACTTCTGAATTGAGATCAACCCACCCTCCAATCTGAGAGTGACAATGTTTGTACAATACGGTGAATATAGTAAAATTTATTGGACTATATGCTTTAGAAAATTTTTAGACTCTGAAAACTTTATTTCACTTCTTTACAGAATGGACTATTTATATAGATTTACTAACAGCATTAGACAAAAGTGTTCTTTCCTTTCTACCAAATCACTTGCATTTTAGAGGATAATCATCAATTCCTTAACCCCCCCAGGCCTACCCAGGGATAATCCTTATTTCCCTTGCTGTGCTTCTTCCAGAGCTTAAATATGCTCTGAGAGAGTACAAAGAGTTTTAGCTTTGGTGTCAGACAGCCCCAGTCAAAGGCAGTAAGGATCCATGTGTGCATTACCTCATAGCCCCATCAGCCTATTGGAGGCTTGATTTTCTGTGCAATAGGAAGCTGTTGAAATATTTTAAGTAGAAATATGATATAATTTGATATATATGCAGCCGATAGTGGAAGAATGATGGAAATTCAGGAATGGTACTTCAAAGGACTATCTAGGAGGCCAGGGAGAGACTGTGGCAGCATGGGAGATGAAGTGAGGTGGAGTTGGAGATAGTCTCCCCAGAAAGAAGCAAATGAAATGGCAGTGTTTCGGGGAGACTAAATCAAAACACAGAAATGGGCATTGTAAGAGCAGGGGAAGGCGCTGGGTTGCCATGTGCGGCTATAAAGGAATGTTGCAAAACCAGAGAAATATAGTAAGTCTATCTCTTTTTTTTCTTCCTTTTTTTTCCTTCAATTTTTATTAGTGAAACACCATGAGGTACATTTGTAGACTTACAAATTTTTGTGCTTGGGTTTCAGTTATACAATGATTGAATACCCATCCCTCCACCAGTGCCCATTCTCCACCACCACCAGTCCCAGTATCCCTCCCACCCCCCTTCCCCCCATCCCCCATCCCACCCTACCACTGTGGCAGGGCATTCCCTTTTGTTATCTCTCTCCTTTTGAATGCTGTGGTTTGCGAAAAAGATATTGAGTGGCAATCTTGTTCAGACTATAGTCTACTCTCATCACACATTTCCCATCCTGAGAGGAACCTCCCAACACCCTTTATTTGGTGCTCCCTTCTCTGTCTGAGCTGCCTTTTCCCCTAGTGTGTGTGGTTGTCCTCAAAGCCATGGAGTAATCCGCCTGGTACTTATCTCGGTTATTCTTGGGTGTTAGTCTCCTATTTTGTTAGTAAGTCTACCTCTTGGTAAACAGCACCTTAGACAGATGTTGTGAGTTCTCATCTTAATTCAAGTTCTGGGATTCTGAGACTTTCTTGACCATTAAATTCTTTCTTTGTAGAAGTTGTTTCCTTTGTCGCAGTAATTAAAGTCCATTTCTTTAGACTTATTTTCGTAGTGTGGGAACATTGTTGAACATGTTCAGCTTCCCTAAATTTTGACTTTCATTTGAAAGTACTATTAATAAAGATAATCTAATGAATATCTACTGAATGCTGCAGTGAGCATTGACCCTGGCATCCTTCCCTTTTGTTGGGTTTTTTACTTCCTATCAGTTGGGTTTTTCCACAGAAGCCACTATGAGCTTTCCTGAATGTTTGCTGAAGGGCAGCCCTTTCTGTCAAGTTTTTTACCCTTGATGGGAGATGGGATGGTTTCTGGTTAGGGGCATCTGCTGCCTAGCCACATACTGTCTCAGCATAAGAGTCTGGATTCCAAGCTTCCTCTCTGGTCAGTCATCACAGCAACTGCCTGGTTGGAAGTAAATGTGGAAAGATATTATAGCTGTGCCCCCAAAACATGTTCTTTCTCTTCTTTCCAAGATTGGGAGTTTCAGGGACATGGGAATGAATGTGGGAAGGCAGCAGCTTAGCACCCGTCCACATTCCAGAAATAAAGAAAACTTGGCCGTGGTGGTGGGAAATGGGCACTGGTGGAGGGATGGGTATTTGATCATTGTATAATTGAAACCCAAGCACAAAAATTTGTAAGTCTGCAAGTGTACCTCCTGATGTCTCACTAATAAAAAGAATTTTTTTTAATTATTTAGTCTTAAAAAAAATGAAAAGAAAACTTGGGGTGGCCAAGACTCCTCTTCTCATTCTCACTTTTGGGCTGAAGATAGGGATACTGGTGCATACAGGTCCTGTGTTTGTTTGATTTTTTTTATCAAAATTTAGTTAAACATGACAGCGTATTATATTTTTACAAATAAATGTTTTTATTTAGGGGCCATTCTTTACAAACACATCCCTAATAGTTTCAGGCAAACAGTGTTCTAACACCAATCCCATCACCAGTATCAGTGTTCCACCAATGACGTCAGGATCCCTCCGAGTCTCCGATTGCCTCCTGTTAGATGCATTTAAAAGATTTTTAAGTTTCCTACTTTAAAACAGTTTTAAGTTTCTGTTACATTTGGAAACGTATTTCCTTACTATGTTTCTTTGCATATGAGATCATACTATATATGTCCCTCTCCTCCTAAATAACATATTCTCCAGGCCCATCCATGTAGCAACAAATTGCTTGATTTCATCTTTTCTTATAGATGAGTGGTGTTCCATTTTGTGTATGTAACATTGTTTCTTTTTTGAGTCATTTGATCTTGACACGTGTTGTTTCTAGATTTTGGCTATTGTAAATAGAAGTTCAAATGTACATTTTAAAGTTCAGTTGTTGTAGTTTGGACCCCCAGTTTACATTATGGATGGCTGTGTGGTTTAGATATACATATTTTTACAAACCAACACCACTGATGTATCTAAGTCCCCTGATCCAAGCCCTTGTTATTTCTTGCTTTCTTACCTCACCCACCTCTCCATTTCTCTACTTTCCTTACCTTTACATTTCTAAAATACAGTGACAAAAGTTTGCATGACTTTAGTAACTTGCATTCCTTGTCAAATTATTCTTGTCATATACACCACAGAGAAGTGAAATCATCCATTATTCACCTTCTTATTCTGATTGTTTTACTATCTACTAGTTCCATCCAGATTGCAGCAAATTGCTGATTTCATCATTCTTTCTGGCTACATAGTATTCCATTGTGCATACATTCTTTCAACACCAAATCCTTCACCAGTGTCCCTAATTTTCCTCTGCCCCACCCACCCTCCTCCATGGCAGGCACTTCTCCCCTCTCCCTGGACCCATTTTCTTAGTGTTCCCCTTCCTAACTTATCTCCCCAACCCTGCCCTAGTGGCAAGCTTCTTACTAAAGACCAGTTCTCCTACACTTTGTTTCTATTGCCTTTGGACATTTGATATTCCCCTACCAAGTTTCTTTATATCCCACATATGAGAGCTCATTCTGAGTCTGTTCCTCTCCCTTTGACTAATTTTACTCAACATGTTTCTCTGCAGTTCCATGCATGTACAGCAAATTGCATGACTTTATCTTTTTCCATAACTTTATCTTGACTATTGTATATAGTGTTGCAATGCACATAGGAGTGCAGATGTCTTTTTTTTAATGTAGGAGTACTGCTATTTATTCAGCCACTGATTAGCTGATTGAATTGGGCATGAACTCCACCTTACTTTTTTTTCATAATTTTATTTATTTATATTTTTCTTATATTTATTTATTGAATCACTGTGGGAAAAGTTACTAAGCTTTCAGGTTTAAGTCTCGGTCATACAATGATCAAGCACCTCTCCCTTCACCAGTACTCATTATTCATCACCAAGAACCCCAATATACCCCCTCCCAACCCTCCCAATGCCAGTGAGGCAGATGATTTCCACTTAACTCTTCTCTACATTGATTACATTATTTCGACAAAAGATGTACCATTATTGTTTAGAATTTACCCCCAACAATCAGAATTTCTGAAAAGGCATTGTGAAATACTTTGTTTTCTATAGCTGGTTATGAGAATCATATAATCTCGTGTGCCCCCAATAGCGGCCTCGCGATTTTGGATTCTTCAAAGAGCCAGATAATTACGAGATTGGTTTCTGTGCGTCTGGTGTTATGGCTGTGCCAGATAGCTACTCGGGGGGTGGGTGGGGAGCAGCTCGTGACCTCAGTAGGGTGTGAAGGATGAGCCAGTACTACCCCCCTTCCCATGAGACTGCAGTTGCCCCGTCACTGCTGGCTCATACCTGGCTTTCCAATAAACTCTGAGGCGGCGGCCACCTTGCTGCTGGGTGGGAGAAAGGCAGAAGGGAGCAACACTCTTTCCCTCCCCGGGAGGCATGGCGCCGTAGTTTAACGCATGGTCCATTCACTTTTCTGCCGCAAGCTGCCTCATTCTCTATTAAGTCCTTTTGTCTCTGGAACCATGGCTGTGCTGGAGAGCTGCTTGTGGGGGGCAACTTGTGACCTCAGTAGGGTGTGAAGGACGAGCCGGTACTGCCCCCCTTCCCATGAGAGTGCAGTTTCCCCATCACCACCGGCTCATACCTGGCTTTCCTATAAGCTCTGAGGCGGCAGCCACCTTGCTGCTGGGGAGGGAGGGGGGAGGCAGAAGGGAGCAACACCCTTTCCCTCCTGGGGAGGCATGGGGCCGTAGTTTAACACATGGTCCATTCACTTTTCTGCCGCAAGCAGCTGGGCTCTGGACTAAGTCCTTTTGCCTCTGGAGCCATGGTCGTGGTGGAGAGCCACTTGTGGGGGGCAACTCATGACCTTGGTAGGGCGTGAAGGACAAGCTGGTACCACCTCCTTTCCCATGGGACTGCAGTTGCCCCATCACTGCTGGCTCATACCTGGCTTTCCAATAAGCTCTGAGGCAGCGGCCACCTTGTATGTGGTCCAGATGCATTTCTGCCAAAAGCCACTGGGTTTTGAGATTTATTTCTGAGTCTCTGGGATTATGGCCGTTAATTAGCTTGATCAGGAGCTAGAGAGGCCATTTGTAGGCAGCAACTCGGGGTCTAGCTGGGATGGGGAGGAAAGGGCCAGTTCCACCCCCATCTGGTGAGGCCCACATGTCTCATCACTGCAGGCCCAAACCTGACTGTCCAGTGCCCTCTGGACGATGGCAGTCACCGGGCCGCCAAGGGGAACAGGCCAAGGCACGAAACATATTCCCACCTGGAGTGGCCCAGCACCAGTAACCTACTGCAGGAACAGGATGCATTTCTGCCAAAAGCCTTTGGGTTCCAAGATTCGTTTCTGAGTCTCTGTGATCATGGCCGTTAAGCAGTTTGATCAGGAACCAGAGAGGCCATGCCTCCAATTATATAGCTGAGCCAGAGGTGGTTTGTGGGTGTGTGTTCCACATACCTAACTTTTGGCAGTTTACTTTCTTCGCAAACTTTGCCCCAAGTTTTTGGGGTCTGGCCAAAGGCACAGCAGCAATTTTGGGGTATCTGAAAGTCTGATGGTGCCATCAGGCTGCTGATTCACTCACCTCACAGGTACAGATTGACCTGCTGGTGGCACCATACCCCGCAGATGTCTTTTATGGTTGGTGCTTTGGGGCCCTTGGGATATATTCCCATGAGTGGAATTGCAGGGTCATAGGTAAGCTCAATTGCTGTTTTTCTTGGTTATTTTTGTTTGTTTTTGTTTTGTTTTATTTTTGGTGCTGCTAAGTCTAAAAATAATGCTGGGAAATGTACACTGGTGGAGGGATGGGTGCTGGAATATTGTGTGGCTAAAAAAATTCAAAGATTTACAAGAGCACTTTGAATACGTGAAGAGGATGGAGTACAGTTATTTTACAATAGGTAAGCACACAGGCTGGGATCAGGGCCAGTGGACTGGCCCAGATGATCTCGGGCTTGCTCCTAAGAAGATACAGACAAATTTTACCTTAGAAGGCACTCTCCAGCTTCCCCCCAGATCATCTTTTTTCCATTTGGTTTTCACCATTGGCTTGTATGATTGTTTTCTGTCCTTTCACTCTGAGTATATATTTATCAGGTGTTTCTTATAAGCAGAAAATAGTTGGTAGTTGGATTACATTTTCTGGTTCATCCAGCCACACTGTGCCTTTTGGTGGGAAAGTTTAGTCCATTGATACAAATGGATTTACCATCTTTTTAATGGATATTTTGGTTTTTCTTGCCTTTAGATATTTTATTTTTGTGGAGTTCATTTAGTATTCATTGCAGAGATGAATTAGATGAGCAGATTTCTCACACTCTTGTCTGAGTTTTTATCTTTCCCTCAAATCTTGTAGAGTAGAGAATCCTAGATTGAAGATTTTTCTCACTCATTTCTTCAAAATATTCTACTCCATTTGTTTTTTTGGTTTTATTATTTCATGATCTGTTATGAATTCTTTGTTTTTTCTTTATATTTCAAGTGTTTCCCCTCTCTTGCTTCTTTAAAATCATCTTTCTCTTTGTGCTTGTCATTTTGATTACAATATATATTTCTCTTTGGTTATAATTTGTTAGGTACTCCTTTGACCTCTTAATCTGAATATAGGCTCCCCTCCAGTGATTGGGGAAGTTTCCAACTATTATATCTTCCACTCATGTTTCCACTCTAATTCTCCTCTTCTTAGAGTATTGCCATGATTTGGAGATTATTCCTTTTGCTCTTATCTAATATAGTTGCTTTTCTATTATCTCTCCTGTTGTGGTGCTAATTTACGTTTTGTCTTAAAGACCAGTGATTCAGCATTCTGTTACTGTGACTTACTTGCTATTGTATTTTTAATCTACTTAACTTTTAATTAATTCTGTAAGATTTTGCATCAGTTTTTCTTTGAGTTAATTGAATTTCTCTTCCAGATGTTCCTTCATTTGTTCTACTACAGTAAAGACTGTTTTGAGGTCTTCCTCAATGGCATCTAAGATTTTTGATGAGCTTGAGTACTCCCCTGAATTCAGTCTCATGATGATTTAAAAGCTGATTTGATTTTTTACATTGTTGTTAGTGTTTCATATTGAAACGTCAGATGTAAACCACGGAGATCAGACATGCTGGTCAACATAACAAATTGCTACTTATCTTCCTATTGCTTTCTGGACGTGCCCAGTGACTTGTGAGGATATTTCAGCACAGCATGCTTCTTAAAACTCAGTCCCTTGTTTAATAGAAAGGATTCATGAGGGTACGCAGTGACTAAACAAGCCTTCATGGATTTCCAACACAGCTCATCAAGTGTAAAACCGAAGAACAGAGCTGCTGTGAGAGTTGAGCAAGGGAATGCACAGTGGTTACAGCACAGATGTGTTGGGCTGAGTGATCCGTGAGGAGCAAAGCTGTTAGACTCTTTGCTTGAAAGTGATATGGCTGGTATAGAGAGTGCTACAGCTCAAAGACCTGGTGACGAGGGTAGGGGCCAGTTGTTGGGGCCTTACACACCTGCAGAGGGATCCAGGAACCCTGAGATGAGGTAGGGTAGTTGGGGAGCATCATGAGGACATTTGTGTTTGAGCTGTTGGGTGTAGAAAATGACATCTGGATCCATTTTGGGGTCCCTCTCTCCTACACAGCACCCCATTTTCACTGGCCCCAGACATCAGTCTACTTAAAATGTAACCTAAGCTCTCATGCTTTGTTTACATTCTAGGCTGATAAGAAGGACCCCCAAGGTAATGGCACTGTTGCTGGGTTTGAACTGCTGCTTCAGAAGCAACTCAAAGGCAAACAGATGCAGAAGGAAATGTCAGAATTCATTCGAGAAAGGTAAACTGGGACCTTCCGACTCTGGGGACTGGGGATAGCACCCACTGTGTCCACTTAGCTAAAGGGAAGTGCCAAGCACTAGGCAGAGCTAACAGAATGTAAGAGAAGTACAGCTTGTTGCCTTTGGTGAGATATAGCCAAAAGATGATGTGCTTCCACTTGCGCAGTGGAAAGATCTGAACCAACTTTCTGATTTTAATTGGTAGGTTTTACATTCACTTTTAGGTATCTAATATCTCTTGAGAAAACAGCAAATTTAGCAGCAGTGTCTCCACATTCTTTGAACAGTGAGAGGGGCTTGAAACAGCTGTCCATCTAGAGGGAATGTGTACTTTTAAGTGTGCCTCAGTCTGCACTGTTCCCTACTCTATCTCCACATTGCTGGTCTCCTGTGCATACCTACATTGCCTCCATTCGAAGCACCATTCTCATCATAACAAAAAAGGAAACCTTTTATTAATCTTTGAACCAAAATTGTGACTAGGTCTGGAAATAGAGAAACTTTTGCTTTCCCATTCCTGTATTCAGGGAGTTCGATTTGGAAGAGAGAGTTAGATAAAGTTATGATGATTAGTCCAGGCATCACAGTAGTGTTTTGAACAAATTATTTGAATGTAGATGGAGACAGTTGGTCATGCCTCACAGAAATATTAAGAACTATTAACAGATTCTATTAATCTGTTCCTTCCTATTTGTCCTCTCCAAGTTTTGTGAGGCTATTAAGAATACAAGACTTATGTGCACACAAACACACACACACACACACACACACATATACACCATTTCACAAACACAGACACATGCTCATGCATTGTATCCAGAGCACATTTAAAAAACTTATTGTTGAATTATAATAGTAATATTCAAGTTCTTTGGCTTTTTAAAATATCTCTTTTCCTTGGGAATCTATATTTATTTGTATAACCAAATCTATGCTGTATGGCCAGTAAAACTAGTAGGAAATTGAGAAGGTACATGTCTCAGGTGTGAGAAGATGGTAATATAAAAACAGGAAACGTCTTTAAAATTTGAATACTCTTATGGTTGGTACTTTCATAAAAGTGCCCAGTTTGTAAATAAGGAAAATCCATTATTTGAGACCGTGAAATGTAGAATCGTACAGATTTTCTCTCCTTGTGTGATATGGTGGAGAGGAACTTTAGAGTCTTGAGAGGCCAGAGTTGAGGCACAGGTGAACACATGTGAGTCAAGTGGCAGAGGTCAGGTTTGTACAGTGCCGTGGCACAGGAAAGCTGAATGAGCTGAAGGCTTGGGAGACTCGGCTTGAGAAGCACAAGTGTAAGTTGGCCAGTGTAAGGTGTTGGCATTGAGTTGTCTTTGGAGATTTGGGTCAGAAATGTGATATAGTTAATGTAAGATAGCTCAGGCAAGATATCAGGTTGGCATCCCAGGAAGGGCTAGAGTAAAAGGCAGAATGAGCATAAAGGAAACCGTGGAGGTAGGAGATAAATTGGTTAGTCTCAAATGGAGCTAGTTCTGGATGTGGTAAGGGTGAAAGCAAAGTGTCAGAAGGAATCAGAAGGGTCTCTCAGTGACAAATGGTGAAATAACTCAAAACGCTGTATGTCTTCATTAGTTGCCTTTGCTATGTTTGGGCACACTTCAAGCATCAACTTTTCAGGGCTGGGTAGCACCTGCTAGAGTCTTTGTAGTATTTACCAAGTGTGAGTCAGTGCTCTCTGAGGTCTGGAGAACTATGACCCTCCAGGGACTCAGATGGTCCCACTCTCAACTCTTCTATTTCCCACATAGCCTGAAAAATCTCTAAGCAATGAGTATTGCCTTTGACAACATAGTTAGTATAGTTATATCAGATAATATAGAGCAGTCCCCAGAGAATTGCCTTGAAAGTATGTCAAGGGCCTGCTTGCTGAAAGTGAAATCGAAGACAACTCCCTCTCCACAGAAATGGAATCAGTGGAATCTCTGGACATGTCCTGGTTTCCATGGACATGCAACCAGGAGGCTGCCTTGATAGTAAGAAGCACTCCGGGCTGGGAGACAGTAGGGAGAGACTCTATTCCTGCCTCCTTTCCTTCTCTATTTCTGCTCTTCACTGTTCTGATAGAGCCTAAATGCGGAGTTCTGATGGAAGAAAACAGCAAGGAGAAGAAGGAAATACGGCATTCCTGAAGTCCATCATTAATGAACTGCATGCCCATTCTTTCATTCCTTTTAGCTCTGTTAACAAAAAGTATCAGCTTGCAGATGGGCCCTACTCTGTGTGAAATAGGAGTTATATAAGTGACAGCTCTACATCCCCATCGCCTAGAAGACAGGAACATCTCATTTTGGAGACAGAGATGGAGACTCGGAAAATTGCTTTCATTCATTCTTTTATTTATTCAACAAATATTAAGCATCGGGTAGACATGTACTAATTGCTTTTTGAATTTATGGTTTAGTTTGTTCCTTTGTATGGTTAATAAGTGACAGTTACAAGTTAAACCCATCGTCTAACGCCAGAAAACAAATATTGGGTTTTTTTCCTTTGCAGGATAAAGATTGAAGAAGAATATGCAAAGAACTTAGCCAAGCTCTCTCAGAACTCCTTGGCTGCACAGGAGGAAGGGTGAGTGAGGAGGCCAGTGAAGTAGGGAGGGAAAGGGAACACTGAGGAAGGGGATATCTTTTCACCTTTCTCTGATGATTGGCCTGGGACCAAGTGAATGGGGAATTTTTTGTAGCTTAGCACAAGATGGACACTTTGGTTTCAGGTAGACATCCACACTCAGTGTTAACAGATTATTCTCTCTAGTGGCAGAGGGTATTATGGCATATGCTGGTGTATCTTAGAACTTTCTCTGCTCTGATTGCTAGGGCACTAACATTCAGATGCTTATCCAGGCTCTATTTTCTGAGGTTATACTAGTGTGAAAAAATTCTATGGAGACCCAAGGCCCAACTCCCTTGCTATATCACTATCCAGACCTTCCCTAGAGACCTAGACTGGAAGAGGCTCAGCTCTACTTTTACTTGTACCCCTAGAGAGAGGGAAGAAGCCTAAAATAAAAAACAAACACTGTCCTCCCATTGTTCACTGATTTGCTCGAGCGGGCCCAGTAACGTCTCCATAGGGCATTTGCCTTGCATGCAGCCAACATGGCCACCCGAGTTCGATTCCTCCACCCCTCTCGGAGAGCCCGGCAAGCTACCAGCTACCGAGAGTATCTCGCCCACAGGGCAAAGCCTGGCAAGCTACCCGTAATGTATTCAATATGCCAAACACAGTAACAACAAAGTCTCACGATGGAGACGTTACTGGGCCCGCTCGAGAAAATCAATGAACAATGGGACGACAGTGACAGTGACAGTTGTTACTATGTTTGGCATATTGAATATGTCACGAGTAGCTTTCCAGGCTTTGCCGTGCAGGCGTGATACTCTCAGTAGCTTGCCAGACTCTCCGATAGGTATGGAGGAATTGAAACCGGCTCAGCCAGCCTGGCTGCATTGCAAGGCAAACGCCCTGCAGCTATGCTATCGCTCCAGCGTATCGAGAGAAAAACTTCAGCTTTCTTTAGCTCTATAAACAAAAAGTATTAGCTTGCAGATGATTCCAAAATGGTGCCAGAGTAGTAGAAAACAATTTGGTAGTTCCTCAAAAAGCTAAACTTAACATGTAACTTAGAGTTCCACTCCTTTATTCAGTTTTTCCCAAAGTGAGAGTTACTGGTCCTCAGTTGGGGGGTTAGTGGGCCAATACAGAGGATAGTATTAGGCATGGATGCAATTGTGGGAGGAGGAGGAGGGGGAAGGGATACATTCTGTTTGTTCCCTTAAGGAGAAGGTAGACATCATGGGGGAGAAGTGTCACTGAGTAATTTTTTTTTCTGAAAAGAGTTGGTTTTAGCCAAATAAGTTAGGGAACCTTAGTTTTATTTATTTTTTTTTTCAGGATCTTTTTTTTTTTTATAATTTATTTATTTATTGGATCACTGTGGGAAAAGTTACAGAGCTTTTGGGTTTAGGTCTCAGTCATGTAGATACCAAACATATTTCCCTTTACCAATACTCATTTTTAACCCCGAACCCCAATAGACCCCCACCTCCCACCCCTCCCAGTTCTTGTGAGGCAGATGAGTTCTAGTTAATACTCTATCTACTTTGACTAGATAGATTATTTCGATAGAAGATGCACAATTATTGTTTAGAGTTTACGACCCACCCCCCACAATCAGACATGCTGAAACAGCGTTGTGAAATGATTTGCTTTCTACAATTTGGTTTAAGAATAAAATGATGCTATCGCGGCCGCGCGGTTTTGAATTTCTGCTATTTTACTTATTGACCCTGGAAGAATTTCTATTAAAAGTTAGCTAGTTAAGAGATTGGTTTGTGTGCCCTGGAGTCGTGGCCGTGCCGGAGAGCCGCTCGTGGGGGGCAGCTGGGGACCTCGGTGGGGCGTGGGGGACGGCCCACAAAGCCCCCCTTCCCATGAGGTCCCTGCCACTCCCGCCAGCCCCGGCTCAAACCTGCTTTCCACAAGGCTCCCGTGCGGCCGCCATCTTTCTTTCCAGAGAGGAGCGGGCGGGCCGGTCAACGCCCTTTCCCCTCCGGGCAGGCTTGGTGGCGCGCGGTTTAACACAAGTCCATTTGCTTTTCTGCTCCAAGCGGCTGGTTCTCTGTGCTAAGTCCTTGTGCCTCCGGGGCCGTGGCCATGCCGGAGAGCCGCTCGTGGGGGGCAGCTGGGGACCTCGGTGGGGCGTGGGGGACGGCCCACAAAGCCCCCCTTCCCATGAGGTCCCTGCCGCTCCCGCCAGCCCCGGCTCAAACCTGCTTTCCACAAGGCTCCCGTGCGGCCGCCATCTTTCGGGAACCTTAGTTTTAAATCCCAAATGTTGGAAACCAATATCTTAAGCACACACATATTCAGAGCAGCACAATTCCAGACATGGGAATTACCTGAATGTTCATCAAAGGAAACTGTGCATTGTTCATCTTGGATGTCCATAGTTATTAGAGGAGTGATATTTTCAGTCACAGAAAAAGAATGGAGTGACTGGCCAGGGACCAGGTGAATGGGGAATTTTGTTATAATGGGGAATAATGTTATATTATTGTTATAATGTTATAATAATATAATATTATTGTTATTGTTATTGTTGTTGAATAATGTTATAATATTGTTATAATGGGGAATAATGTTATTCGTGTTACTACATGAATAAAACTTAAACACACTCTAAGTGTAAAGTGAAAAGCAAAGCAAAGGAGACCTCTCCCTGTATTTTGCAGATAGATACTGCCTTTTCCTAGAGGAGATGGAATGAATTTTCTGGTGTCTCTTCTTCTGAGGGCACCAGAAGATCAGAGCCCTACCCTAAGACCTCATTTAACCTAATTTAGGTTAAATGTCCCTCTCCAACTAACAGCTACACTGAGCCTCAGGGTTTCAACATATGAATTTATTGGGAGAAGAACACCTGGTTCATAAACAGTTAATATAAAACATTTTAAAACTACAGGTAATAGTTTCACAACAAGGCAAATATACTAAGCACCACTAATTTTTCTCTTTAAAATAAATACAATCAACTTTTCCATTCAAGTTTAATGAATTCCCTGGGGTAAATAGTTTTTGATGAAATAGAGTCAGCTGAACATTCAGTTGCCTGAACATTTACTATGTTGGAGAGTTCTGTAGCTAAGAAGCCAGAATATCATTCACAAAGTCTTTGGAGTTCAAGTGTTCCTAAAAAGAAAAATGTATCAGTGAAAGCAGGGAAAGAGACTACAGTTAAAACTCTTGGGAACTTCAGATGATCACTTCTATTTGAAATAGAGGAGGAAAGTGGTTTAACTTAGATGATTTTTCTATTAAACTCTGGCAGCAGTAGGGCTCACAAGTCAAGAGAATTATCCATTCCTAGAAGGTTCCTCTTCTCCTGAAACTCAGAAAGTTTGTTCCTTCCCTTTGGGAAAGGACTCCTATTAATCTCTTAATTTACCACCCGGTACTTACATCTCTCATGTAGGGTGGTGAGAGACATGGGGGACAGTATGGGCTGGGTATCGAAGCCCTCACTGAAGCTGTAGTTTATCATCTTCTTGCATCTCTTCCAGTTGTCAGGGTTTTGCTGTATTTCTCTGTTCCTGTCTACAACCAGTCTGTCTCCAGAAAATGCCCTTGGGTAGCTCTATCGTTTTGGACTGAATGTGATGCTTGTGTCTGTTTGTGCTTAGTCTCTGCCCCTCATGCCTTATCGTGTACATTATAGGCTACTCCAAGATGGATCTGAACTCTCTTTCCCACCACAGGAAGAGTTGTGCTCTATGACTGAGGTCCTAGTAACACTGCAACTCTGATTCTGTTCTTCATTTTTAGCTCCTTGGGAGAAGCATGGGCACAAGTGAAGAAGAGCCTTGCAGATGAAGCCGAAGTTCACCTCAAGTTCTCTGCCAAGGTAACTGGATTATAGGTTTTACATAGTCCTGTGTTGCTAAATATTTATTTCTAGCTAAAAGTACTTACCAATTTCCTGGGTGTAATTTTTTGTTGTTTGGGTTTTGTTTGTTTTGAGGTCACATCCAGTGACACTCAGGATTTAGTCCTGGTTCTGTGCTTAGGGATCACTCCTGATAATATTCAGGGGACCACATGTGGTTCTGGGATTCAAATATGTGGTGCTGGGATTGAGCCAGCCACATGCACGGAAAGTGCCTTAGCCTCAATACCACTTCTGCAGCCGCTGGATGTAATGTTTTTTGGGAAAGACAGCATACCTGGTGGTACTCAGGGAGTACTCTTTGGTTTATGCTCAGTTACGACTCCTGCTGGGACTGGGGGACCACTGGGGGGCTGGGCACAAAACCTGGGCTGGCCATCTGCAAAGCAAGCACCCTCCCTATGATACTATCTCTCTGACCCCTGAATGTAACTTTTTAAGAGTTGAAAAGAGAAGGGCCAAAAAGATAATATAAGGTTAAGGTGCTTTCCTTGGGCTGGAGCGATAGCACAGTGGGTAAGGTGGTTGCCTTGCATGCAGCCAGCCCAGCTAAGCTGGGTTCGATTCCTCCGCCCCTCTCAGAGAGCCTGACAAGCTACCGAGAGTATCTCACCCACGGCAAAGCCTGGCAAGCTCCCCGTAACATATTCAATATATCAAACACAGTAACAACAAGTCTCGCAATGGAGACGTTACTGGGCCCACTTGAGGAAATTGAACAACAGGAGGACAGTGCTACAGTGCTTTCCTTACATGTGACAGACCCCAGTTAGATCTCTTGACACAGCATATGGTCCCTGAATTCCACCAGGATTGATCCCTGAGCAGTCAAGAGTAAGCCCTGAGTATATTGGAGTGTAGCCTCAAATCCAGAAAGAAATGAAAAGAGCTGGGAAGGGAAACATAAATTAGCACATTTTTAATGTTTCCATCATACTGAAGCAATAACATACAGTTGTATCAATAACTATAAGTAACCATCAAAATCAGAATAAGGTGTAGTTAGGAAGTGATATGTGCTAAGTCAATATTACCTTTGTTTTAATTGAATTTCATTTTAATTGAATTCATTGATTTTAATAAGGTTTTGATCATTCAATTTTCAATATTTGGTTGGGTGGGCTCAGAGTGGCCCCTCAGTTGGTTGCTGAGTCTACTGTAAAATGTGTTGGTATATGCCAAGTCTTCTTGATGTTAGGAGACACAGCTGTATTGAAGGGAGAACTCTTTTGTTACATGTTATTGCAAAATTGCGGAATAGGTAAATGATAATTTTTCATTTGGTTCAAAAGACTCTAGTGTCGTAACATGCTTGAGGGTGGTATTTCTGTCCTGTTCACTCTGCTTCAGTACTCAGGGTAGTAGCCAGTACAAAATATATGTTTAATAAATCTTTTTCTGAAGAATGAATGGGACTTTATGTTTTTACTTTCTTTCTCTGTTTTTTGGGGCCACACCAAGGAATGTTTTGAGGGTTATTTCTGGCTCTGCACTTAGGAATTACTCCTGGTGGTGCCTGGGTGGCCATTTGGGATGCTGGGTTGGCTCGTTCATCCTACTGTCTCTCCAGCCCCTGAATGGGATTTCCTGAATAATTCTCAGATTCCTAGTCTTGAAGTTTACTTTGATTCAAGATTTATCCATGTTTCCACACAACCCTCATCTTTCATCTCTGGCTCATATTCCCAAAGTCCTTTTCAGAGTCTCAGCAACCATTTCATGGGGAAGGCAAGTCAGGTGTCTACGTGCCATAGTGCATGATAAAGTGACACAACCACTTTAGTAGGTGGGCTGTATATCCCTGCTTGCCACTAAAGAATGCCCTCTAGAGGGGCACCATTCTCAGTAATCTCCTAGGGTTCACACTGTTTCCTCTGTCTTCCCACAGTGAGACAGAGAAACCCAAAAGGACCTTCATATAAAGTGCTAAAACTCTTTGAGCCTCCTTTTTTAAACTGGGAAAAGTTTACTGCCCCTACTTCCTAAAGGCCGCATCTTCCAAAGACAGCCAATTTTTCCTGGGGCTCTCTCAGTCGTTACATGCCTTGTGTCTTACCTAGCACTTTCCCCACAGCAGTTCCAGGCTTTATGATTCCAGTGAGATGTGCACTGTCGAAGAATAGGAATCTGGCTTTGTACCCACCTCTCTCTACCTCATCTTATTATGGTTCTTCATGTAACAGATCTGAAAACCAACCTGGAGCCTCTCCAAATTACTGAGACATAGGAAGTTTCTTTATAATGAGCTGGGGTGGGAGGAAGAAGCAGCAAAGTTATCAGTTCCCTGTTCCTAAAGTATGTTAGTGTTTCCAAAAGTGGATTGACTGCCAGATCACAGTGAGAATTCTTGAACTAATAATGGCATAATTATACACAAAGCAGGACACAAAAAATTGCCATTCAAGGTTGGGAGCAAACCCCTTTGCACATCTTTATCTTCCATATGTATAAATCAATACATTATTTTTAAGTTTGGTTAACATGGGTAGGTTCCTTCAAATTTCCTTTTATCATCTCAGCTTCCAACATCTCGTCTATGCAAATAGAATTCACCACTGACTGGTGGAATCAATGGAAGAATAGCTTGGGGGAGAGCCAAATCTATGAGCTTCTGAAAGGTTTCTTGCTAGATTTCTAGGAACCCTGGTGGCACTTACTCCCCATCAGCAGGACCTGTGGTTTCTCAATGGTTTGTGGAATACTCAGATGGAAAAAAATGGAATATTTTACTACTATTTCCTTTTACTACTGTTCCTGGCACTAATACATGTTCCTACCAACTACGTGGGTTTCTCCTGCATTGACCAATGCAGCTCGGTGTCTAATCCAATTGGATTAGACAGTTATGACATTAACTACCTGAAATCAAATCTCAGAGAGTAATGAAGAATAAGAAAGTCACTTCAAATACTAACTGTACATAGTGGTTCCTCAGATTACCTACATTCCTGAAAATGGAAACTTTCAACCTTATTCATGTTTCATAGTTTGCTGGAATGGCTCACAAAACTAAGGAAAGCATTAGGCTTACCAGTTATTATATAATAAAGGATGCATCTGACTAGTCAGATAAAGAGGTACATAGTTTGAAGTCCAGAAGGATTGTAAACACCGTATCTTCTGTCTCCCTCGAGTTTGACTCCACCATCCTCCTGATTCACCAATCAAGGAACTCTCCAAACTACTATAGTTTATGCTTTTTGATAGTGGTTTCATCATATAGTCATAATCTATTATTAACTAGATCTCTAGGTTCTCTTCCCTCCCCAAAGGATAAGTATGAGGGTGAAGTTCCAAACTTCTAATCATGAAACAACCTTCTGGCATCCAACAACTACTCCTCATGCTATTTAGGAGCCTTATTAAAAGAAGATATTACCCTGTCCTTCAGGAAATTCCAAAGATTTCGGTAGCTTAGTGTCAAGAATCAGGGTCAAAGACCAGATAATAGAACTGAAGATTGCTGTATACAAAGATCTCCTGATACCTGTATCACTTAGGAAGTTTCAGGAATTCTGGCCAGGACCTAAGAGTGAAGACAAAAAAGATATATTTGTGATTGTATGACTGTATCATAATTATGTGTTCTGTGCTTATCATTATTTATAGTCTCACTTCATTTTCTTCAATTTATCAAATAACTTGCTAGATAGCATTTGTATTTCATAAATGAGTTAGGACCGAGAGGTTAAATTGAAATCCATAGTCACACAGCCAAGTAGGCTGAGCTATAAAGGGAGCAAAGGAGAGAACTAAGCACTTGGAAAGAATACCTAGACCTAGGAGATCAGGGTAATTGAAAACACCCAAAGTTGTTCTGGGGAGTATTTCACCTATCTGGGATAGTGTAGGTTACCTCACATCCCACTCTACCAATCACATTAAGAGCAATATCTGAAGAGTGTCATGCACTGACATATGCTGTCTGTGAGTCAGTGCTGGTGACTATAGTCAATACTTGAGGCAGCTCAGTGGTTAACTACTTGATGGAGGGTGGGTGTGTCCAAAAACTTGTCTGCCATGATTAATATGACTTCATATGCATGAAATCCATTTTTATATCTTCTGCAAAGGGTTCTTGAGACTCTATTTTTAATGTTCTTTGTTGGAAGCAAGAGCAACATAAGAAATGCAATTTTATTATGGCAATCTTTCAGGCTTTTCTAGTCTATTAGACAACCCACTATTAATAGCAACAGGCTATTAAAGAAATAAAATTGCTATATACAAAAGAAGTTATATAGGCTGAAGCTAAGAAGGGAGAATGGAAACATTCCTCTTGGTGGGAGAAAAACAAATCCTGAGTATAGACCACACACTCAAGTCAGAAGATAATGGAGCAGTGGGAATTATGAGGATAGATTTTGACAGCCTTTGTGACATTAGGTAAGTTACTTAGACCTTTTGCACTTCCATTGTTTTCATGTTGGAAATAATGAACTTGCGCTTGAGCAGTGACTTGAAACATATTTGGCCATTACACAAAATAATTGATTTCACAAAGTACTCAGAACACACACTATCAATACCCAGCTTATCATCCTACCTAAAATACTTACTATTTAATTTTGATCTATTTCATTAAAAAGCTGGCCAGGTTCAGGGATGTGGTTCAGTGTTAAAGCACTGGCCTTTATATGTGTTAGGCCCAGGTTCCAGCTCCAGTTTTCCATGAGGTCCTCCAGCCACTACAGAGAGCAATCCCGGAGCATCAAGCTGGAAGCAGTTTCTGAGTACAGATGAGCATAGGCAACAAACAAACAAAAAGCTTACCAAACCCACTGAACAAATTTTATAATTCTCAGCAACCCACCAGTTGGACCTGATAGCCTCCCATATTCCTTCCAGCTTCAAGTGGATCTTATTCCTCCTGATGAGTTGGAAGAGAAGAAGAGTAAGAAAATAAGAGTTCTGAAAAACAGACTTTTCCCCGAGAGACTTCATGAGAGCATGAGGACCAGCTTCCAGGGAACATTACTGCCTTTATTTAAAGGAATAGGCTTAAAAGTAAAGAATGGGGATAAAAAGACACCTAGGCAACTTTATTTTTTTAAATGCATCTTTGAAAAATGTTTAAAATAGGAAATATTTGTGGGATTGAATCACTTTGACAACTGGTAACGTTGTGTTTCCAGAATGTCTTTTGGAATATGGGCATGACACTTTGAGGTGTTGGAGGTTTGTGGATCTTTTGTCAGAGGCTATTATTCTGTCCCAGGAATCCTAAATCCTAAATGCTCAGAATGTGGGTCATTCTGAGACATTTTTAAGACTATAAATCAACTGGCTTTTCAGGTCCTCAGAGACCTCAGGGTTCCTGAGTTATGAGGTTGAGTTAACACCCAGATGAGAGCAGATTCATATAGCAGCTAACTTACACAGATTCTCCTCAGCACAAGCCTCATGTTAATAGTAAAAGCGTTCAATTGTTCTTGTTAGCTGTCAAGTTACAAACTACCACCAGATGGGGATATTTACTTATACAAGGCCATTTCCTGTACCTCAGGGAAAAAAGGAGAAGATAGACATTTACAATTAACTTAGAGGAGAGGAACATTCTGGTGACCTGTTCTCTGTTAGTCTTTGGAGGACATCCAAAGTTATTTTTACAAGCAGCCCATTGAGCATTGAAGATTCAGTCACTTTTCTAAGCGGTGACATTCTATACCAGCTTTGCCAAACACTACATGTGTACAACAGTGCCCAAACCAGCATGATCCCTGCCCTCTGGAATTTATAATCAAATGTAATTGGTTATTTAGAACTAGGAACAACTTAATCTTCAGAGTAAAAGCTATGTTCCAAGACCATGTTGAGCAATGAGAGAGAAATAGAGAAATCACAGAATTCCAGAGTTGAGAGTTAACCTGTCCAAAGACACCTGTGCTTCCCAGAGGGGGGTAGCTGGTATAGCTGGTATCTAAGGGACTCTGCGCCACCACATCATCAGGCTGTAGGAAGTCGAGGTAAGTATAGGATAAATTGGAAGGAATTGGAATACTAAATAGGAAGGCTTTAAAGTCAAGGGGGTCATAAGGAGCTAGGTTGAGAATTTTGAAAATCTAAGTTAGGGGATCTTAGGAGCTGGATCTATAGCCAAGTACGCTGAAAATCTGAGTCCAGGGCCTTAGACTACTCATCAGACTGAGACCACAGCAGGTTCACACTAATCAATATTCTTATCAGATACACCTTGTATTCATATGTAATAAAGAATGTAGAGAAAGAGAGAAAGAATATAAAATAAGGAAATAACTTGTAAAACAAGCACCTCCCTGAACAACCACCTCATTCAGAACATTAGGCTAACTCCTCTGGTGGTGGAAAATAGCTTACATCCATGCTGAACAGTCAGTGAGAAAACTCTTTCTAGGTACTAGGTACAGCTCAGTCTGTGTGCTCCCACCAAGGGTTCTCTAAATTTGGGACAATGTTCACATCACTTTAGTAGTTTCAGCACCTGGCAGGTAGGCAGTCAGTAAAAGTACTGATGGAAATTCGTCTAATTTAGTGCATGTACGAGACAAAGCACTGTGCTACATGCTTGAGGAAACAAAGATGGCAGTTTGGTTTCTGCCCCTCAAAGCTCCATGTTGGGATCCTAAGGGTGATGTACTCCCACGAAAATCCATGCAAGTACTGTGATTTTAGGAGGAAGATGTTAGCTAACATGACTATTTATCCATCATAAGTCTATTCATCCATCTGTACATCATGTGAGTTTTGGAGACAAACTAGCTTAGCCCGATCAATTCAGCTAAATTGATTCAGTGAAATGCCAGTGAAATGTGTTAGAACCCACTCTCACCTTACAGGAGTAAGAGGATCGCTGCTTCCTGCTTTGCTTGCTTGCTGATGTTCTGCATTTGGAGTGTCCCCCACACCCATACACACTTCTCTCCTTGACAGCTCCACAGTGAAGTAGAAAAACCCCTAATGAACTTCCGTGAGAACTTCAAGAAAGACATGAAAAAGTGTGACCACCACATTGCTGACCTTCGCAAGCAGCTTGCTAGTCGTTATGCATCAGTGGAGAAGGTGAGGGTGCCGGACATGGGGCTTGGTCAGGGTGAAAACCCACTGAAAGGGATGGGAACCAGCCACAACTCCAAGTGTCGAAACAGAGATCTTTGCTCTCTATGACATGGAATTGGAATTGGGGGTATAACAGAGGTATATGAGCCTCATATGGATGCTCCGGAAGTTTCTGAACCCAGCAAAAGCTGGCAGTGGCTGGGGGGACAAGAGAGGCTAAACTTATTAACGGGGTTATGGTGAATCAGCCACATGTGTGAGGTAGGGTAAATTATGCTTTGGGTGGTGCTGCTGTTCCTGGGCATGGTGCTGGGCTTCATGTAGCTTCCCATGTCTGGGACTCATCTGTTCTGTTCCTTCTTCTTATTGTTTTGTTTTGTTTTTGTTTTTGTTTTGCTTTTTGGGTCACACCTGGCAATGCACAGGGGTTACTCCTGGCTCTGCACTCAGGAATTACTCCTGTCAGTGCTCAGGGGACCATATGGGATGCTGGAAATCAAACCAGGTAGGCTGCGTGCAAGGCAAATTGCCCTACCCACTGTGCTATCGCTCCAGCCCCTATTCTGTTCCTTCTTAAGCCAGTCATACTCTTCCTGAAGTCCACAGTGGGGAAAGAAGCAAGTGGCCAGTACTGGAGTAAAGATAACTCTGACTCCTTTGGGAGAGGTCGAAGGATAAGGAGAGCATACGGAACTGTGGCCACCTTAAACCATGCCAGTTGCTGCCACCAAAGGGCTGTGGAATTGCCGATATTGGAACCACAGTGCAGAAAGCAAGCTGCTTTTAGCCTGCTCCAGAAAGTTCTGTATTTGTTTAGCACTGCTACAAGTGACACGAATGTTCTTTTTGGCTCCTTATACCCTAGTAGGGCTGTGCTTTGGGATGTTTGGATCCTCCATTCATGTCATATTTCAATGAAAATGTGACCTGAAAAACTCATACGCTGCCTGTGCCCATGTGTTCTGCCATGAGCATGTGGTGCCCAAGCACATGTATTGCCCACATCTTTTCTCTTGAGATACGTACTTTCATATCTAATGCTGGGGTGTGGACTTAGGCTCTCTCCATTCTGGATAAGCCTGTATTCTTTCTTGAGCATGTACTTTTTCTCTCTTCTCCCACTGTATTGCTCAGAACTTCCAAATAAAACCTATTTTTTACAAGAAAGAAGGAAGGAAGGAAGGAAGGAAGGAAGGAAGGAAGGAAGGAAGGAAGGAAGGAAGGAAGGAAGAGAATGGAGGGAGGGAGGGAGGAGAGAGAAGGAAGAGAGGGACGACGGGGGGGGGGGGGAGAGAGAGAGAGAGAGGAAGAGGGAGAGGGAGAGGGAGAGAGGGGGTGAGGGAGGGAGGAGGGAAAGAAGGAAGGTGCGTGCCCTACAGGCAAGTTAGAGAATTGCAGGAAGAGATGGGCCTTCCCACTTGCGCACTGCTGGTCCAGGTGATCCTAATCTAGCCAGTTATCCTCAAAGTTGCTTGTGGTAAAATCTGATAAAAACAAGGGGAAAAAATACTCTAATCTAAATAAGAGGTACCCAGCCCTATGACCTGTGGATCTTCCTGACTGAGTTTTTTAACATCTTTCTCTTTTGGACTTCAGGCCCGAAAAGCCCTCACGGAGCGTCAGAAAGACCTAGAGATGAAAACCCAGCAGCTGGAAATCAAATTGAGCAACAAGACAGAAGAGGATATTAAAAAGGCACGAAGGAAGTCCACACAGGCAGGTGAGTACAAGCACATTGTTCATTTGCTGCACTCTGTCATCACTGATCAGAGAATCAGAAAGGACAGGATGAGAGACAGGGTTCCCCAGGAGGTATACATCCCACAAGAGGAGACTGGGTGTGGATGGTACAGTGAAGAGCAGGCTAGAATGTGCCACGCTTTGATGCACACTGGGCTCCTCACGTTCACCTCAGTAAACTCTTTCTTTCCGAACCCGAGATCTCAGTCCTAGGAGTGGACAAGCTCCAGATGAAGCCAGTAAGAGCACAAGTACCAGCCCTCATTGCATTGGGGACTAATGTTTGAAAGGCTCCATAGTGATGGACTTCTCCTAATCCTCTTTCTTAATGAAAATTGCAGATTTTCTCTGAAGGATGTTTTTGGTAGTTCATTTCTTGGTCTACTTAGTGGTAAAAATTGGCTTAAAACTCAAGGTTTCACTGCATGAAAGAATATATTGTTTCCTGGGATTATAGTTTGTGCTATTGGTTTAGGTTTGCCTCAGAAGGTCTCTCTGTACTTGCACTTCCACATGTGGTAAACCTTATATAATTAATTCTTGATAGAATAAGCCATTTAATCATATGGATTTTTAGTATAAAAATAAATCAGTATCTAAATAATGTAATAGAAATATTGTATTTAATATTAGAATATCTAATGCAGAGTAATAAATAAGTGGTCCTAGAAATAGAAGGTATGATATACTTATCGTAATTGGGAATAAAAGCAGAACAGAGGCAAGACCATTTCAAATATCTTAATTTACTAAACTATTAAAAATTATATTGCCACTACCTGGCACAAAAATTAATCAGCACATAAGAATATCTTATTTATCCTATACATTCACCACAACTTAAATCTAAATTTTTAATTTAAAAAATTAATGCCTGGGGCCAAAATGTCACTACAGCCTGACCTGCGATTTAAGACTAATCTCTTCTTGAAAAAATGTTAAAATACATTGTGTAAGTTTCTGAGCTATGCCCAGGATAAGTGCCATGAGCCCACCGCTAGGGCTCACACCATGATTTATTGAAAATCTGCATGCTTTGCTAATTTTCCATTTTGCCCACTTCCTCATGTAATCAATTGTAAAAGGCTAGCTTGGGAGAAATAAATTTGGAGCTTGATCAGAGTCTTGACTTGCTCCCATTCTTCTGTCTCTCTCTTTTTCCCTACTCGCAAACCCTCTCCTGGTTATCCACGTTGACTAGTCCCACGGGTCGGGGCAAATTAATATGTATATACCCTCTCAGAGAGCCCAGCAAGCTACTGAGAGTATTCCACCTGCACGGCATAGCATGGCAAGCTCACCATGACGTATTCGATATTCCAAAAACAGTAACAACAAGTCTCACAATGGAGACGTTTCTGGTGCCCGCTCAAGCAAATCGATGAACAATGGGAGGACAGTGCTAAATATGTATATACATGAGATCATATTATACTTGATATTCTAAACTTATATGTAATTTATCCTAGGAATTGTTCTACTTCATCACTTAATTTATTTGACCGTTCATAATATGCATCAAAACTTTTTTAGGGAAGATCCTCCCAGGAGGAGGATCCTCCCAGGATGGGAGAAGCATGCTGAAAGTAGACTATAGACCAAACATGATTGTCACCCATTGCCTCTTTTTCAAACCACAATACCCAATAAGAGAGAGAGAACAAAAGGAAATGCCCTGCCACAGAGACAGGGTGGGATGGGGCGGGGGATGGGGGAGATTGGCGGGGAGAGGGATACTGGAAACCTTTTTTAATGGATAAATACATGCAAGCGTATGACTATTTAAATTAATTTTGTAATTCCCTAATTGATTTTTGTGGGCCTTTCAGATTGTGTCAGAGTATTTGCCTGTACTAGCAACACTGGAATATTGTATACATATAGATAGAAGATTGATGTGGAGATTCTGTATATCTGGGGCCACAGAGATAGCATAAGGGTTAGAGTTCTTGCCCTGCATGCAGCCACTCCATTTTTGATCCCTACCACTCCTGAGCACACCCAGGAGCATAGAATCAAGAGTCTCTGGTGTATAATATAACTGTAGCACTGTCCTCCCGTTGTTCATCAATTTGCTCAAGTGGGCACCAATAACGTCTCCATTTTGAGACTTGTTACTGTGTTTGGCATATTGAATAGGCTGTGCGGAGCTTACCAGGCTCTGCCATGTGATTGGGATACTCTCGGTAGCTTGCCTGGGTCAGCCATGTGCAAGGCAAACGCCCTACCCGCTGTGCTATCTTAATGCATAGTTTCTACCTACAAATAAAGATTTTAAGAAAAAAAAAGTCCTGGGTGCTGTTACTTAGAAATTACTTTAAAGTTTGTTTTCTTTCTAATTACAAACTCTTTCAAACCAATATACAAAAAATAGAACACTAGCCATGGTGTACCATTTTATTTCAGATTACTCTCTAAATAAATGTTATTAACTACCCATGTTTTCTTTCTTTCTCGATGTAATCACTATCCTGGAATTAGTATGTGGTAGTTCAGAATATGTTTTCATGCCATTACTTCTTATGAATGACCCATTAGATACACTATTTTGTATTTCAAAATGATGTCTTGCTACCTATGTGGATAAACACATACATATAATTTTCAAACTTCTCTTTAAATCCAATCTGTACAAATTGATTTGTGACACATATGTTAACCATGCTAGACCCTCCAAGTGTGAAATGAAACTGCCAGTTTTAGAAAGGATATTACCTCCTGGGTTTGTGATACACCTCTCCCACGTATACCTATATACACAGTCTTTCCTGAGTGATTAATGTCTGGAGTTAAATTTAGTTAAAGTTAGATATGTACCTGAAATTGGTCTCATGGTGCTGGATTTTCTTTTATGACACTATCTTCACCTGCCATTCTCCTCATCACAACTACTCTCTGTCTCCATGACTTCACAGTAAGGGAGGCATAGCTCTTGCGTGAAGATGGAAGAGGGCAACAATAGTGAGGACAGAATGGCACATAATGGTGATATTGGCCTTTTCTAGGAGATGACCTCATGCGCTGTGTGGACCTCTACAATCAGTCCCAGTCCAAGTGGTTTGAGGAGATGGTAACGACTACATTGGTGAGTAATCAGCATGTGTAACAGTGTTATGCAGAATTTGATGCTCTTTCAGAGTTTAATGCTTAGGGGGAAACTGGAAGGCATATAGAAGAGAAGAGTTGATTCTGGAAGATCATTAAATCTTGAGTGTTTGGCTCAAAATCTCACCTCAGAGAGATGAGTCTATGCAAATCAGATCATTACTCTGATTCATCCTAGCTGTATGAAAATGAGCAAGGATCAGGTTATGCTCTCTTCTCTTAGCCTAACTCCTGACAATTCTGTGTCCACTGAGGATGTCCCTATCCAAATAGATAGTGGCCCCTTTAGAATAAATAGCAACTTGTGTGAATAGTGAGCCTCTTCACTTGCAGAAGACCTACACCCTGGCACATTATCCATCCATCTTGGGGATCACCCACATCTCAACCAACAGTGTAATTCTTTTGTTTCCTTTAAGGTGCATGCTCTGTCTTGGGGGCACCTGAATTTCAATTTGATATGTGTACTCATAGCTATCTCCCTTCTAGTTCTGTTTCCTCTCACCCAGTAGATCTTGAAATATAATACACTTAAAGTAAACTATAAACTGTTTTATTAAAAAATCAAGTTACAGGTTTTAAATAGGACATCTTTTCAAGTGAATAATTGAATACTGTTGGAATACCTAAATGGCAGAGGTGTGGAGGAGTCTTCTCACCAGAGTACAGGGTGAACAGCTTTAAAGCCCTCTTTTTACTCTCCAAAGCTTTTCTCCTATTCACTCAGTACGTTCACTGTGGGACAGTGAAGTGTTGTTTGCATTTGGGCAGTTGGAGCAGATGAGAAAGAAGACTGCATAGTCAGGGGCTTAACTCATTGTTCCCTAGCCCAGAGCTACCTGTTTGTCCCATGTAAAATCCCTCCTCTGTCTCTGCAGGTGACAGTGTACCAGAGCAGATTAAAGACCTCTTGTAGCTTGGGTGACCTGGTTTTCCTCCTAGCTAATCTCCTAATTAAGCCCCCTGGTTTAATCCCCCTCCCCTCTTAATCACTTAGACAGTGGCCTAGTTGTGTACAAAATAACAGCCTGATCCCCTAAATTGCAAAAATGCAGCACCCTCTAGAAACCAAAAGACAACTTTTCCACTCCACCCTTTGATAGTGATCACCCAACTTTAGCTCCCCTCACCTTCCCTGTACCTAGTATTTCCCACAGCACCTGGAGTAGACAGAGGACAGGAAACTGTTCACTAATGGCTCAGGAACAAAACCTCGGGAGAGGTTTGTTCAAAGCACAAAGTTCTCAAGTGGATCCTATTTCTCTGCCCTGTCAGGGAACTCGAGATTGTCTTCATTGGGGCAGAATTAAGGGCACAATGAGCTCTGGTTCAAATCCAACTCTTTGTCATTTTAGACAAAGCACATTGTCTTGTAGATGTTCATTTCATTCCCTGGCTTAGAAAATGTGGATTACAGATGGAACCTCTGTCTTTAAAATTATTAGAACAATTTAGTGATGTTGATGAAGCTCTTAGCACCCAGTAAGCATGACAGAACAGGTCAAGAAATAATAGCTGTTGTATCACCATCTTTACCTTCACCCTTACACATAGGAAGAATTTGTTTCCAGACCCCAGGGGATCATATTGGATGGGGCACAAGCAGAGATAAACTTTGTGCTTTATATATTATATCCATTGTGAGAAGGTCCCAAATTGAAGGGACATGCATGTGGACATCTGTTCTTTCCTCCTTGGCAGGAACTGGAACGACTGGAGGTGGAGCGGGTAGAGATGATTCGGCAACACCTCTGCCAGTATACACAACTACGGCACGAGACAGACATGTTCAACCAAAGTGTAAGTTGCCTCCTGCCTTGGACCAGCAAAACTCCTAGGAAACAGCAGGACCATGGGCAAGCCCCCTACACGACACCATGGCAGATAAAGAGCCTCTTGAAGGAACTTTATACTGGACATGGGCAGTGGGCATAAGCTTGAGCCCATGAGGAAACATTTTAGAATTGAGTTGTCCTTACTCATGGATAGTGTCTTGGAGATCCACGTGAATATATCCCAAGTACATGAATTATATACATGATGGAGTGTCCTAAGGAGAAAGAAGTTTATTATAGTTAAAACATCTGCAGATATAATTGAGCCCCTTTGAGAATTTCTATTCTACCCCTTCACAAAATATCTGTAGGGTCTGGAGCAATAGCACAGCGGGTAGGGTGTTTGCCTTGCATGCAGCCGACCCAGTTTCGATTCCCAGCATCCCATATGATCCCCAGAGCACCGCCAGGAATAATTCCTGAATGCATGAGCCAGAAGTAACTCCTGTGAATCACCAGGTATGACCCAAAAAGAAAACAAAAAACACAAAATATCTGTAAAAATATTTAAATATCTAAATTTATAGTTCCACATGATCTATTCTCAGGTGTAAATGTAGGGACAGATGAAGAAAGAGTTCATAAATCTCAAATCTTTGAGACACCTTGCCTTTCACCAAGCACTGAGTTCTGTGGAGTAAGGTGCATCAAAGAAGAATCAGGGGAGGGATGACAGTTCTGAGCTTCACACTGTCGCAGGCCTCAGACAGGCCTCTTCTGGGTTCCCCACAATTCTCTAGTCAGGCTGAGAGTGCAGCAGCTAGCAACATGGCTCAGAAGGAAGTATCTCTGGCTTGACTAACATCTTTGACAGTGTCCTCTCTTTTCCATCTCTTGTAGACAGTTGAGCCTGTTGATCAACTGCTTCGAAAAGTGGACCCCGCCAAAGACAGGGAGCTGTGGGTCAGAGAGCACAAGACAGGCAACATCCGTCCCGTGGACATGGAGATCTAAACATCATATGTGGTCCCAGGGATACTGGGCTTGGCAGTCCCTACAGAGAGGCAATGGCTTCCACTTGGGACCTGCCGTTGAGTGAAGTTCGCTCCTACCCTCTCTCCTGGTCTACTGAGAAGAGGAAAGCATAGGTTCCAACTGGTGATTTTAAAACTGCCACCTACATAGACCCACTGTGGGGTCCCCAGTGTTCCCAGACCAAGAAGATGGATCCATAGCTTTGCCCTTATCTCCAAGACTGAAACCCCCTAACTCCTGTGCTGTCCTTGCCCCTCTAACAACACTGAGAATGAAACTTTAGAGTCTTTGCCAAGAAATGCAGGGGTCTCCTCCCACGCAAGAACCAGCTGTGTCACAGGCCTGTGCCCTTAAAAGACCCAAGACACCACCTCTAGCAGGTCCTTTTGTCTCCATAGCTTTTGACGGTCACTGGAGGAAGGGCTCTGTCTCCAAGTCCAGTCTCAGTATCAGAATAATGGATAGGAGGTGCCACTCAGTTTACACCCAGATTCTTTGCAGTTCTTTCTCTTCATTTTATCCCAAGCATTCTGGTAATCCACATCTTATCTCTATCTGCCACTTTCCATCACTGGGGTCTTGGGAAGCAGTCTTATTCACTGTCTTCCTAGAGGGACCCTGCCCAGAGAGGTCAGGATAGAACTATCTTTTTCAGCAAATTTACCCAAGTCCGAGTATTGAATCAGCTTATCAGAGCTTGTGTTTTCTGTGATAACTACTTTCTGTGCATTTCAGTACTTTGTTGGTTCTTCAGGGAAGCTCCATTCTCCCACTCCCAGGCTCTCAGTAGTACCAGATCAGCCTCCTGCAGGAGGGGAATTGGAACAAGTCAACTCCCAGATGACTCTGCCTGCTGACATTATGGGACTGCTCTCCTTGGTAGGGTTTTCTTTTACTGTCAAGTACTGTGCAGGCATCACAGATTCATGGTCACTATCAGGTACCACCTGCCAGGGAGTGTTGTAGCAGTCAGACCTTTCAGCTACTTCTGTGTGTTTAAGAGACCTGCACCAAGCCCTGTTTGGTGTTGGTATATTACCTTCCTCTTGCTTTGCATCCCAATTACTGGAAGAGCCTGATCTGCGTATGACCTGGAATGTTTTCAGCACTGTTATTGGGTCCTAGCTTATCACCTCTTTCTGTATCACAGTAAGCATGCTCTCTTTCAAGTTGTTATTGAGAATCAGTTTGAGGGGACTGGAAAAAGAAATAGATTCCAAGAGTCCATTTTCTCAGTCTGAGAGCCCATCATTCTTGTTTTGTGGTATAGGAGATTTTGCACCACAACTGGCAATAATCAGTAGCTACTCCCAGTTTTGTACATGGGGCTTGGCCCAGAAAGTGCTGAGAACATCGTGTGGTGCTGTAAAACCGTGGTCTCCTGTATGCATACATGTGCTTATCTCATTGAGCTCTCTGTCCAGTTCATAATCCATCTTTCTTCATTTTTCTCACTGATTGCATTGGACCTTGAGGTCTCCCATGAGAACAGTATTCTAAGAGCACTACCCACTGACCTTTCTCTAAATCTCCCATGCTGGTTACTTGAATTTTACAGCACTTCTTTCATTGACTCAGAAGTACTTTACCATAATTTATAGTAGAAAGATAACAAATATCCTAAAGCAAGTCAAAATGTGCCACTTTCCCCTTCTTACTGAAATATCCCACCCAGAAATGTGATTGTGAAGGGATTCACTGTCATGAAACCCATCAGGATAGGCCTATTCCTGGGTAATAAAACTGTCTACCAATTTTAGGATATTATTTCTTGATTTCTTTCTTTAAAATATGTAACCTGGTAGCCTGATGAGCAACTTGATTTATGAATGATAGTCAAACATTTAAAGCCAATAGTATTGTCAATAGCATAAATTTTTATTTGTCTTTTTATTATTGTTTTCTGGGCCATACTTGGCAACGCTCAGGGAATACTCTTCACTCAGTACTTTTGAGCGACTTCCCGGCAGTGCTTCAGGTACTAGATGGTGCTGCGATTGAATGTGGAGCTCTCTCATGCAAAGCATGTGGCTTTTGAGCCATCTTCCTGACCCTAGGTATTTGAAATACGAGAGGTCTCATTGAGATTGTCTATTAATTTCCACCCAATAATTTCAGTTCCCTGTACCTCATTATGACAAATGGTACTCTTTTGCTTCTTTTAAGATGCTCCAGGTAACTGAGGATAGGCCAGTTTGTTGCCAAAGTCATTCTTTCCTCTCATTTCCTCACCACAATTTTTTCCTTCCCTCCTTTATTAATTTTCCAAGCACTTAGCTAAGAAAGAGCAGTGTGCTAGGACGTGGGTACAAGATAGAGCCTGCCATAAGGATAGATCATCACTTCTTACTTTGTAGACTTATCTTTCCAACAGAAATCATTCCCTTAGCTTTCATAAACAGATTCTCTTCAGACTTTAGAAGTACTGTCAGGACTGCAGCGATAGCACAGTGGGTAGGGAGTTTGCCTTGCATGTGGCTGACCTGGGTTCAATTCTCGTCATCCCATATGGTCCCCTGAGCACCGCCAGGAGTATTTCCTGAGTGCATGAGTTAGGAGTAATCTCTGTGCACTTCTGGGTGTGACCCAAAAAGCAAAAAAAAAAAAAGCCTATCTTATGTCAATTGATATATATTCATCCACTGAACTCATTCATTCATTTATTAAGTGGATGCCTGGGACATGCTAGGCAATTTGTGGAATACTAGAGACAGAGTTGACATAATCCATCAGGTAATCCATCTGTCCCCATCCTATCCATGTATATGAGTAGAAGACCTCTCTGGAGAGTGAGAATATTGTACCCCTTCCCTAATGAACCTATGGGGAATCTAGGATTATAATATACACTACCAACATAAGGCACCACAGAATGGAAGGTAGACAAGAACAAATATTAAATTACCTAGTTTGCTATACATTCAGGGCCTAATGTGTATTTCAGAACTTTTTATTTGATTGCACCACACCAAACAATATCCTACGATTATTCCCGGCTAGATGCTCAGAGTCTGTGATCTTGTGACCATGTGGTGCCAGGGATTGAACTGGGACTTCCTGCATGCAAAATATGTGCTTAAGCCCTTTGAGCTATTACTTCCCTAGCCTCGTGTTCTTTTAAAATAAATATCTCTGCTTTACCTCAGGAAGAATGAAGTCCAAGGGAGGACATTCAGTGCCGTCAACTGACAATGAATCACAGATAGTACTTGAGTTAAGAATCCAGACCACAGACCACCCCCCCCCCGCCGACTTTTTTTAGCAGGTGTCTCCATTTGAGGACAGCTAAAATTTAGTTGAAGTCTAGAACAAGTCTTCTTAAACTTTTCCCACTTACCAGACCTTTTTTGCCTGAGAATTTTTTACCTGACCCAAGTAAATCAATAGACAAAATATTTTATCAAATAACATATTGACTTTTAATAATTTAAAAGTTTAAAACAATTTTTTACATGTTGCATGGCTCAATGGTCTGGAGCAATAGCATAGCGGGTAGGGCGTTTGCCTTGCACACAGCCCACCAGCTAACCTGGATTCGATTCCCCCGCCCCTCTTGGAAAGCCTGGCAAGCTACCAAGAGTATCTCATCCACATGGCAAAGCCTGGAAAGCTACCCGTGATGTATTTGATACGCCAAACACAGTAACAGCAAGTCTCAATGGAGACGTTACTCGGCCCACTCGAGCAAATCAGTGAACAATGGGAGCACAGTGACGGTGACTTTACTCTATGTGGGATTATTACCCACCATGTAAGAAGCCACGGTCATCTGATATAGCACCACGGAGTAGCAAGCTAGTTTTTAGATGCTGTTTTGCTCATGTTAAGATTAAAAAGGGAGATTTGGATAGGTTTATTCAGAATAGGTGAATGTGGGATTTCTTAAGAATATTTATTGTTCTATTTCTGAGAACAACTGAGCATATTGAGCATGTCCTCCCCTGGGAAACACTGCAGCACTTAGTTTTGGCTGTGAAAACCTGATTAAAAGATAAATTGCTAAGGCAAATAAATGAGTTAGTGACCATGACAACCTCCTCACTTCTTCCTCTCCATTTTTCATACTGCATTTAGTCAGTGTTATGAAACATAACTACCTGAGCCATTGAGTTGACAGTTCTGAAGTTCTCCCAGTTGAGTCCCTGGGTCTCTACCTTCACCACTGCCTATTGGTCAGGGAAGAATTCTTCAGTGGGAGATACTTCTCCAATTATTTGGGCTGATTAATGACTGGAACAAATAGAAACAGCATAAACGTTTATTAACTCTGTGTTGATAAACCTTCCTTTGTGAAGACAAATCAGTTATTAGTAAAGCCCCTTCTTAAAATTCAAGCCATAGAGTGTCAAAGACTTTGGCTTGATCTTGTATTTGTCTTCCAAACCTGAGTGACCTTGACAAAGCATTTTAAACAGGAGTCAACAGATCTGCACATGATTTTTTTTAATTTTTATTAGTGAAACACCATGAGGTACAGTTGTAGAAATTTTTGTGCTTGGGTTTCAGTTATACAATGATTGAGTACCCATCCCTCCACCAGTGCCCATTCTCCACCTCTAATGCTTCCCTTATCCCTCCCACCCCCCAACCCCCCTCATCCCACCACACCCCTGTGGCAGGGCATTCCCTTTTGTTCTCTATCTCCTTTTGGGTGCTGTCTGCACATGATTTTATAGGTGGAAAAATCACTTTACAAATATTAAGTGGGATACATGCTTACTTAACCAGGAAACCATCTTTTTCTCACAAATCCTCCAACTTCTACAATATCCTCTTCTTTTTGCATTGTTTCCTGGTGGGGATGGAGGGGTGCAGATGATCTCCCAAGTATCTAGGGACCAATGAAACTAAGTTAATCAAGCTATATGGTTCAATTCTAAACAGTATGGCACTGCTCCCCGAAAGTTCCGGGGACTAGCAGGACCATCTGGTCATGATCAAAGTCTTCTAGGGTGGAGCTCAGGGAGCTTTGATGTGTTGGGGATAGAACTTGGGTCCTTGGGCATGAAATCCATGCACTACTGACCTGTGAGCTATCTTTCCAGCCTTACCTTCTA